CACCTGAGGAGAAGAAGAAGATGGACAACAAACACAACTTGCCTGAGTGATGTCTCTTTATAAGCTGTTGAGACTGACCTGCTTGGAACCATTCACTTGTTGAGCACTTTGCTCAGATATGTACAAAAAAGGTTTTGTTTAGATTATAATTTTCAATCATTAAATATTATAACTTAAAAGTGAAACAAAGACCACAAACTTAGAACGGTGGAGATTGTGCACAAAGAACTTAACCAAACAAAAAATAGAAAGAAACAATAAATAGAAACTACAAAGACAGGCTCATCTTTCTTCTCTTCTCTCACATAGCTCTCTCTTTCTTTGACCTCAAAAAGTCAAGTAAATTCAGAGTCCTCTGTTTTCTTCTCCATCTCCTTACATTCACATTGCACTCTCATCCTTAATGCATTCTCCATTACATTTTCCCCTCAAAAAATGAAAACATAACCTTCATAGTCTAACCCGAAGCCTACTTTGTTTCTTTCTCTCTTCTTGCATTCTCTTTTAAAGATAAGAAAAGACCATGGATTTTTTGAGGTTAGGTTCAGCAGAGAACAACTCATCGCAATGGGGCGTAGTGCCCAGTCCATTCATGATGGAGGAGCTTGTATGCCAGAAGGAAAACATGTTGACCTCAAAAGGACTTTTCATGAACAACGACCCTCTCCAATACGCAGTACCTCTTCTCATGCTTCAAATGTCAGTCATCATATAACCTCTAGGATTATCTTCGGTGTCCTTAAACCTTTGAAACAAGGAATGATCTCTGCTCAAGTCTTGGTATACCATTTCTGAGTTACAACGTACCCTTCAAGCATATTAGCAGTGAAACTTCTAAGCTCTTCGACAAAGACTCAATACACAGATACATACACAAATTATAAAACACTAGTGAAAGTTCAAAAACATATGAAAACTACAACCTTTTCAATTGAGCTGAGATCAAACTCTAGTGGAAGTTCAAAAACACACAAAGACAGAGCAGGCTAACAAAAAACAGGGGAGATACTTAGCAAAATATACACATTCATGAACTGAATCAAACCCTCAAAACTACGCTATGCATCCAAATCAAAGAAACACATATAACAAACAGTAAGTTGTCTTTTTGGATGAACACAAAACTCAAGTAAAACTACAGATAGTTACCTCAAAGAGAGAGAGAGCTTGGAGACGGGTTTTCAATGGAGAAGAGACAGCTCTGGGTCGGAGAAGAGACAGCTCGAGCTGCGGCAAAGAAGAGAGAGATCTCTGGGTTACCGCAGAAATTTAGAGATCGAGAGAGAGAGATACGTCGGAGGAGAAGTGCGTCGGACCGAGAGAGAGCTGGAGATGCGTCGGACCGAGAGAGTGTGAGATAGGATAGCGGGGTATAAGTCCCAAACTAGTAACCTTGCTTGCAGGTTAGAAGGAACGGGATTCACAGACCTAGGAGTTGATCACGTAGGAAGAAGGATCAGCTCTAAGAACCTGAGATCGTAAGGATGATCTGTTGCTTGCAGAGAAAGTAATAAAGAGGAAGATGATTTGTAAACTTGATTCTTATTAATAAACTTCATCAAGGCATAGCCTTATATATAAAACACAAAGACCTAATCGTAAAAGGCTTTGGAAACACAAATTGAAAATTATCCATAATAGAAATAGGAAATAAAACTAAATAGGAAAACATAAGGCGGTGTAGTATCGATCACGACATTTTTGCTGTCACAGAGAGATAGCTGGAGATGCGTCGGAAATCGAGACAGAGATTCGAGGTCTGCTTGTTTCAAATGGAGAAGAGAGCTGCGTCAAATGGAGAAGAGATCTGTATCTGCGGCTAATAAATTTAGGCATTTTAGTGAATAATGAATTAAGTTAAGGGTAGAATTGTAATTAGGTTAAGTAGACGCATGAATTACCTGAGAAACGCTGGTTTTTATCTGCGTCAGACGCAGATGTCGCGCCCAGCCGCAGCCGCAGGTCCTCCGCGTCAAAGAAACGAACAAGAGTTCACGGAAAACATAGCCGCAGTCGCATGACTCGCGGTAACCAAACGAACATGACTATTGATAAAACAGATTCTCAACAGATTCTTTGCATCGGATGTAACTAAAATTACGGTCACAATATTAATAATATTTGAAAAAGTGATAAATGCATCGATTTATATTAAGTTGGTAAAAAAAAAATATAATTAAAATAAGGTAGTGGCAATGCATTGTAATTACTATCAAAACAAAGGGGGATCTCAAAAAAGAGATTCTTGTTTTAATAGTATACTAGGTTTTGACCCGCGCTTCCGAAGCGCGTGTATTATATCTTTTTCAAATAACATGAAATTTACATATGTATGTTTCGATCGCATTTATGGATCATATTAAATCGAGAATATTTGATTGTAATGGGGAGTATAGGGAGTTAAACTTCTTTAAAAGGCGGGTATATTTTATAATTTCATTTTTTATTAATTTAATTTTTACATTTGTGTTTTTTTGTAATCTTTGTGTTTTTTGCAATCATTTTATGTAAAATATTTTTTTTAAATGATTGGTAAGGTTTTTTGACAATTGTATTGAATTTGTGATGTTGCATAATTATATACTCGTGCCTAGTGCTAGGAAGCGGGTCAAACCTGTCCCGTTCGACCCTTCATGCAGTGGATTGTTTTATTTTTTGACTAAATTTTTTAACATTTCTGACCCGCAAAGAAAATATATTTATTTGAACTCACTTCACGTAAATTTACAGATAACCCGCATCATCCGTAGATAATTATTAAATAATATAAATAATTATTTTTTAAAAATATGGTTAACATGTAAAAATAATATAAATAATTATTAAATATATACTTTTTAATGTTGACAATTATAGAATTAACTGTCATGTTAAAATAAAAATAAAATATTATATAATAGATTGTATAATATTATATACTTAGACTTGGTTAAATTATCATTTTAGTTAGGCCTACTTTACAAACGAAAACTCATTTTAAAGCCATGTTAATACTTGATTAAGAAATTGTTGTCTACAGAAAATTATTTCTATAATTTCACCCTATTGAATTTTAAATTGCTTTCAAGTATGAAGAAGTCGATAGCCGCCATTATAGATTTTGATAAATAAAAGATGAGATATGGTGTTTTGTGATTGGAAGGTGAAGATGGTTATATTTATAGCAAAAATCGATGGTTAGAGTAGGTTTAGGATCTTTATAAAATAGCAAGAAAATTTAATATATTTAAAAACAAAAAAGGGAACAAATTCGTAAGTAAAATATTTAGTATAATAAAGTATTAGAATAAACACTGATAGATTTTCTCAACTAACTTTGGATATATGACCTCTAATTAATATTTTTGATACCTTATGAAATTAAGAATAACAGAAAATTGTTTTTGCAAAGGTCCATGAAGTGGACACACTGTTTTTGTGGAGGTTTCATTTTACTATGGTTTCATGCAAAGAAAATAAAATATCTAAAGATATACTCACCTGTCATATACATATCCATATCACTTGTCTCCCAGAGTAACGATGTTGATGCTGCATATCTATTCTCTCTACAACTTCCTCGTCATTGGCATGCTAATGTATTTTCTGTATGTTTCAAACAGGGAAAATACTTTTGCTGCTAGAAACAGTCAATAATAAGCAAAGAAACTAATCGAAAACTACCATTCAGATCTTCTGCAGCATTGAGACTATCTTTTTCAATGAGCTTGAAATTTCAACCTGGCCATCATTAGCTGCAGGAAAAATAAATCAAACACAAAGTAACGAAATCACATTAAAGTGAAACAAAAAAAAATAGTTTCATAGCAGCACATAGGCTCCGATCAAAAAAGAGTTTTACAGCACATATACTAAGATTCCATCATCTAAGAGATTAGATAATCTAATTCAACTCCCAATATTGATTATCACCTCCTACTAAATCTAGGCTAAGGTTTCACAATAAATTTATCAATCTCTTCAATCATTTGCCATGTCTGGGATAAGAAAATAAATTCAAAAAGAAATCAACTAAAACTCACCAAGGATTTAAACTCAAAGAGATCTGTTGCAAAAGTGAAATGGAAAAAGGATGCTTGCGAGTGAAATCTATCAGACAATGTGTAATGTTTTACATACTAAGAAGTCACGTTGATTGGGTAGAGTTAACACTTGACACAGAGGCGCTAACAGAAATGACTAAGAGAGCAAAACTAAATCAGTAGGCAAAAAAAAAGATAAGCCACCAAATAAAGGACCGCCAAGATAAGCAATTAATCAACTAGCTTCTATATGCAACTTACAGCGTTTCACATTGCCAGCATCTTGATGGTAAGCATCTATGCGCTCGGTGGATGTCAAACATTGCGTTGGCATCATTAAGAACCATGTATTCTTCAAAACCAGACCTTGCAAATCACCAACACCGACCAGATGTCAACAAAACCAAAAGATAGTTCTCTGATAAATAAAAAGGAAGATTGAGCACTCATGATTTTGTGATCTAAAAGTGAGAGCCCCATCCAACCCATGTTAAAACATATCACACCTCTTAAAAACAGACAGAGCATAAGACACTACCTTGTTAGTGAATTCAACGTCTCCATATTGAATTCAGAATCACCATTAGAGAAGTCATTGAAGGGTTTCCTTTCATAATGAAAATAAAGTCGCAAAACCTCGATTGTCGACTTCTCCCAACAGTAAGATAAATCGCCTCCATAATCACCTCGTACAAATCTCACAACTTGAAAACCTGGAGTCGTAAATCTGCAATGATCTCGTGTATATCCCAAATACTTTTAGTTATGCCAAAGTGACGTGTTTATCAAAAATTAAGGAGACATCAAACAAAAAGATTTACGAATCGGATAATAAGATTTTGTCAATTTATTAAAATCGGATAAAACCACTTTAATCGAGTAAAACTGCTTTGATATAAAGCATATCTTAAAAAATAATACAGTGGCAAGGATTTGTAAATACTTCCAAAAATCAAGGGGACATCAAAAAAAGGCCTTGTGTTTTAATAGTATAGATATAATATATATATTTTCAAATATGAAATATCAGCATATCTTGTTTATGCTTTGGCTAAAAAAATAGTAAAATTTAATCAATGTAAGTATCTTTTAAGGGGACCCTCGAGAATGATAGTGACACCAGACAAAAACAAAGCAATGAATTAAATAAAAATCGAGGACCCTCGAGAATGTTAAACAAAGCCTCTTCTTCTTTCCAAGTACTCTTCTACACTCTACAAATCACATCACACTATTTTGGTATACCTCCTCTGGTTCTTGCCACAAGCAACAGACTCGAGATCTAACGTAAGCAGTTCTAAAGTCATCGGAGCAAAGAAACGTGGTTTTCCTCCAAGTGACACTGAATATGGTTGTAGAGACCCCAACAAGTAATATATATATATATTTTCTTTTTTAGAAAGGAGCTCAGGGTCATCTATTGTTGTAGTGCTGCTTGAATAAGGTTTCGCTTCTCCTCCGATCTGTGACGGAACAATTTTGCAATCTTTCTTCTCTCGCAGTCCTGAAATCCAGATGATGAAACAAAACAAAACATATAAAAACTTAGAAATATTCTGATACTAAACATCTAATCCACAAGTTCCCCAAATAGTTGATAGCGTTTCAGTTAACATATCATGCACGAGCACTTTCAACTTTACAACCCTAAAGCCAGCCTATACGCATGGAGTCAAGGCAACCAATTATTTTAAATGAGCATCAAACAACTCATAATCATAGACTTTTCAAAGGGAAATCTTTACCTTGAACATGTGAAGATTAAATGGTTTGTCAGGATTCATCCGTCTTAGTTTTTGGTAAGTATAAGCAAAGCTCAGCTGGTCACGGGGAGTAAAGCGTTCCACTTCGTTGAACCAAAGACATGAGAATAGGTTCGACATAGGAGTATGTGCCCGTACTATGAAAGACCCCTCTGGAACATCTGCGAACAAGAGGACTAAGTAAGCATATACGCATAAATTTATTGTTCTTCACATGACCAATGCAAAAGCTCCCCAAGAAAGGATTGTATCAGTTATCTGACAAATTCTTACTGCTAGGAAGAAGCTTAAACGGATCTGAAGCGTTGAATCTGGTCAGACCGTCAGCCTTGTAAAAGTCAAACTGTTGATCAATAACAGTATGGTTGTACTTGTTCAGCTTCTTGTTTTGTGCAACCTCTTCCCATAAGCAATGGCGGTCATAGTGATTGGATATAGCATACTCGTGCCCTTTACGCCATAGGAAGTACTCCAGAATGAGCAGGGGATCTAACTGAAGTCGTAACTTGCTGTCCAACCAAATTGAGTACCTGGAAGAATAAACAGCAGATGAGTTGGTTGTGTGTTGAGAAGCTTTTCGGTGGGTACTGCATATCGATTTCAGATACATCTGTCCAGAGAAACCACTTTCAAGATCCAATCTTTAGTGTCCACACTTGACTTTTGTCTTTGTGACTAAGTAAGAAAATTATACTTATGCTTTACAAGTATAACAGATGCTCTTTATAAATCATACTCAATCTGTCTTTACTGCACGTGCTGAAAAATTATGTGCTAGTTAGACCAATAAAAACTATCACACAAGATTCACCTTGCTGATGGGAAAAGTCGGTGTGGCAACAGTTTTGGTATTTTGCCTACCCTCCTCATATCTGCGTAAGGTAGATTTTTTACCACAACCAACTTCCACAAACCAATGAATCCTGCTCTGTCTGGGGCATGGCCTTCTGCAGAAAGTGTTTGCATGGTAATCTCGTCCACGAACACAATGAAGCAAACATTTTTTCTTGACAACCGACTTATCTATATGAAAAAAGAAGCTCACGTTAGTACAAGTAACCAAATAACATAACCAATATAGCAAAAGAAAATTACGAACAGAAAAAGAGGAAACGTGTCTTTTCAGAATATTGGGGAAACATGAGGTTGCGTGTCAACTCCTACTCCACTACAACGAAGCTATATATTTACGAAGAGGATCTACTCCCAGGTCAATACACTCTAATAAGGCCTTGAGCAGAGTTCTTACCAGATAGCTGTCCATAGCTGGCTGATAAAAACACCCCCAACCAACTTTAAGATGCCAGCTATTCAAGCATTCATGACTCACCATTTGCGCTCCTGGCTTAAAAACTGCTACTTCCGTCTTATTTTCAGCCACTACTAGTCTACAAGAATTGGTTAAACTGCACTCTAAGAATAGAGGCCTAAGGCGATTTTTTAACGATTTCACCTAAATTTTTTTCTTTTAGACTAGATTTTATACTCGCGCTACGCGCGAGTCTGTTTTAATAATTTAGTTTAATTAAAATAACTTAAAACCAAAATATTAATTGAGTAATATAATTTTCTTATTTAAAATATAATCTTTAATTTAGTATTTATGTTTTCTTATAATTATGTTATCTTATTAGCTATTTAGTTATTTGTATTTGTAAATATAATAAT